GTCCTCCCGACTTATAGAGTACGTCGTTAGCATTTCAGACCGAGAACCTGATTATCGTGCCATATGCCTTCAAAGGCAGACCTTGCGATTGCATACTGTGGGTATTATTGCAAACCTATGGTCGCTAAGCGACTATCTATGGAGGAAGAAAGCAAGAAAACCATTTAGAACACTTTATGGTAAAAACTCTCCCTGGACAGCTTTATGTGGGGTTCTCTGAATGGCCTCCTTTTATGCCAGCCGACCGCTAACCTGCTACCTCTGGCTTACTACTTGTCTGTTCGCGTCATCCAGAGCTCAATACCACCTAACAGTGGAAAAGAACGGAAAAAACGGAAAACACTACGCAAGAAAAGAATCTCGTGACAGCAAAGCTGGGATTTGAGAAACACGCTATCCAACGAATTATTACACCAATACAATCACATTGTTGATGAACCGAAAGCGTTTTACCTTACGAACTGGATTGCTTCTGACTGTAAGTGCTCGTCATGAAAAGAGTAATAAAGGAGAGTAGTATGATTTATGAGCAAAAGCTTGAGCTCGCCTCGCCTTCGATCAATTGAGCGATCGGCGTTAAGTGCAGAGAGGACGTTTTCGGTGGGCGGTACAACTAACAAGACGTTTAAGGCAACCCCCGGGCTCAAGCGATCCGCAGCCGTCCTCTCCTGTACAAGTTGTCTGATCCTTAGTTATCAAGGTCATCCCGCTGTCGACGCTTTACAGTAAGTAGTGAAAGCGCTGCGGTCTTCATAAGTGGCAGTTCTGGCGCCTCCCCGTCCCGCCTATCGACAGTCAAAGGCTATTTTCTTTACAGTAAGTAGTGAAAGCGCTGCGGTCTTCATAAGTGGCAGCTCTGGCGCCTCCCCGTCCCGCCTATCGACAGTCAAAGGCTATTTTCTGTTCGTTCAGTTTTAACAAAAGCTTCTCGTTTACTTTACTGTTATATGGTATGGATGCCGCAGAGAAACGACGACTAATGCACACAGATGTTGCCGGATATCGCTTTGCAAGCTTAAACGAGCAGGTTCGGAGAACCCGCCCAGAGAGGCTGCCACGTCTCAACTCAGGGTGTTCTCCACGATTTTCTTTTTGCTTTTTCATCCCAGGAATCATATATCACCTCTAGGTTTTAACTGAACCCTACTGTCGACATACAACGGCGAGGTCTGTCTTTAGAATCCCCACTTGGGAGCCCCTCGCCCTCGTTACTTACTGTGAAGCCGCAAAGTGTGGCCCATCCAGACTGCGGACCAGACTACTTGAACAAAGAGGGCCCCTACGCGTTGCTTGACCGCGAGAGCTGTCTTTAGGTCAGCTAGCTAGAAGACTTGTGCGCGATGAACCATTCCCCCTTACACTGACTGGAAGCGCTAACTCCATGTATTAGGAATGATCTGAGGAGAAAACTGAAAGAGAGCCGAATCCAGAGAGATCGCTAGTTTATAAAGCATAGGAAGATAGCACTATGAAGGAAAGTGATCAATTCCTCTGGTTATAAAAAAGGCGCACTAGAGTATGAACTTCATTAATGACACAATGGCATTCAGGATACAGCTCATAGGAATCTGTTGCGCTTATGCAGTGAAGAGAATGCCAACGAAGAATCTGAGAAGAAAAAAACCAGCTTCGTCTCCGCTAATGAAGAACTTTACGAGGTGTTTAATACAAACCGGAAAGAAAAACTGCCACAACTACCGAAGCTACCAGCGAACGGCTCCCACAATTGATAACAACCAGCCGAGAAGGAATGACCACAAGGTACTTATCGACGCGCCAGGCACACAGCCGACACAATACACATTCCATTGACCTTCACTATTTACTGCATCGACCAAAAAACAAATGTTCTCCATTCGGGGCTACTCGTTACTGTAAGACGCCAGCTACACAATCTTGTTAATATTGTCATATCTGACTGAAATAGGCCTGCATCACACACCAGCACAGCTTTATAAACAGTGACTTTCATATAACAGGCACATGCAAATTGCTGGACAAAACCTTGGAAACAAATGTATAAGGAAACAAAGTCGGCAATCATGTTTTATTGACGCATTTCACAATACTATATTACTAAAAACATAACGAAGTCTTCTCTAAGAATCTGGAGCTAGAGAGCTAGTGGTCATCGACTTTGTCAGCACGTTTCAGAACCTGAAAAATAGCGTTGACGTCATAGGTTCCAGGATGACGTAACACCAGAGAAACAGAGTAAACAGCTGTGATCTGGGAGTGTAACAACACCAAATTCTTCTTATCCAGTAAAAAAATAGAGGCCCTCTGAAGGTTTCGAGTTTTTTATTCTCCTCGATATTCCTTTTGAAGAACCTTACTCAGTCAGTTATTCTCTAGCAGGTGTAATGATGACTATATGTTACTTTCGCTCAACCTACAGTCACGATCCCTGTCAACGATAGGGCGTGTGACGCGGCGTGAATTGGAGCGCAGCTAGGACAGCCTTTCTCCGCAATTCAGAGCCGCTACAACTGGTGGAAAAATCTGCCTTGGCTGCGTCCAAGCTCCAGGCCGCGTTACCCGCCTTATCATTTGCAGAGATCACATTGCCTAGCCTCCACTAGCACCCCACACCTTCCCCTACGGGAGACCTACGCGCTGTAGGAACGATTGGATACCACACCCTTCACGCTCCCCTAGTGGCATGAGCACAATGACAGTCACTGTTTGTTTATTAAAAACTGTGAGTTTGTTACTATTTCTGAACGGATTGTTTACTGTAAGCGTACCATGCACATAATTTTCATCAACTTGTAGTGTAAAAAAACTTTTTCGATCTGCGCTCGAAATACTGACAAAACATAGGACGTGATTTCCTTCGTGTGTTTTCTGGCTATGTTGAGTGAATTTGAGGAGCTATTCGTGCTGTATAACACCCAGATCTATGAAATCGAGACCAGGATCTAGCAGCAAAATACTGACCAAAAAAGTGCAACTGAATATATTCTAGCAGACAAACCTTGTAGTCCTTGAACCGAGCTTCAATTTCTGGGCTCTCGTTAAGTCCTAGATTGCATGGATCAGGAATTCTGAAATCATAACAACTATGACCGAGTTCTGGAAAAATGGTTAGGATAATCTACAGACTACAGAACTTTTCTAGAAAATACTTCACCATCAACTTTCAAGTAATTTTCAAAGCTCTCTGCTGGCTTAAAAAGCGAAATCATCAAATGAGTTGAGAAAAAGTAATTAGCGGACCTGTTCTGGTAACGCAGAATCGTAAAACTCCTGTGGGAAATATTCGACAAAGTGTTGACGATCGAAGTGTTCAACTGGGGGTGCAGAAGCCCATTTCTCTTCAACCTGTGAAAAAAGGCAAAATTAAGCGATCGAGAAATAAACGTATAAAATATAGACTGCATGCCTAGAAAAAACTACAATTAGAATAGAGTTATGATGCTTTTCAACTCGAAAATTCCCAGTCAAAAGTTCAGTATCTTACAAGAGGAGATCAGAAAGTGAAGAGATTTTGGCGCTGTTTCCTTCTAGGGCTTGGTGAGACTGTTAGTATTCAGCACTGAATTAATCGGAAGAATGCGCCATCACTTCGGCCATTAATGTCCGCGTGCCTTTCCCTGGCCGTTAGTCGCGTCGTCCGTGTGGGCAAAACAGGTAGACACTGTGAGATTCATAGCCAGAAACCAAGGGGGGGGGGGAATTAGAGCGCAGCTTGGCAGTTTCGCGCTTTTGTTAGCAGATAAAAGGAGACCGAGAACTGCGCAGGTTCTGGAAAGACAGCATATCTGGGAAACTTCCACCATACATGTCCGGACATCGTACACAGCAATTTTCACCGTTTGGACAGCTTCAAGGTAGTTTGCTGACGATAAATACCCTCAAAGACCGTGATGGGCTATATCTGCCCTGGCAGGACGGATTCCGCGACTCCGGCAGGCGCTGCGCAGCGCCGCTTCCGCAAAGAGGTACTCCTTATAAGCGCCCTAATCGAGCCACAACATAACCCGGAACCCGAATGCTTAATTGCGGCCGCGCCCGCCCACAAATGGAACGACCTTACCTGATTCTCCGGTATTGCTTCATTTGGCTAGAAAATATGAGCGAAGCGGATTGATATGGAGCGGCTGTGGTGCTGTATGGATTTACGAGTACATGCATGCACCTGTACCTACCGTAGCGGTTACTGACAATATGCCTAAGGGGAACTCGTCCGAAATTGCTTTCTGAGAACGAAGGCTTTCCTTCGCAGTTTTCACACCGATTTTCACTTCGATTTTCGCCATTTTTCGCTGACTACTATAGGTCGCTCTGCTAGCAATTTAGACCGAAGAAGTTATCCTGCTAACTGGCTTTTAAGAAACACGGTGATCCTATGGAAGATCGGTCGGTCCCATTGAGCTCATGTGAGATGTGAACGGACTTGCAGCCATAAAAATGTGCCTATTTCGTCACTCTAAAAACGCGGAAATGAGACTAGAGGATAGGGTTAGCCATATGCCATATTAAGTTCTACACACAAGTAAAGAACGCAGCACCGACAAGCCGCATCCAAGCTATTTGCCTGGCCAAGCCAAGCAAATTGGGAAAAGTGTATTGAAGTACAGGGTGATCCCAGAAGAATGAGGTATGTTTCGGTTTTCATCATTATCACTAGAATAAATGCAGCTTTCTCATTATTTCCCTGCCCCTTTATTTCCCACTTCCCTTTATACATAATAAAACTTACCTTCTTGGCTTGCTCCAATCCATCGGCAACTTTCATGTCATGGAGCTTTATGCGCTCATTGTTGTATTCAACCCAGTGATCGACTTCCTGAATTGAAATGCGTTTAGAGTGAACCCCAGCTTTGCATATAACAACTTATTTGTCATCCACCGAAGAATTCGTGCCACAACGATACAATGCCACGAAAAATCAGCTCAAAATATGGCGAACAAGTGAGAACTAAAGAAAAGCTTTTGAAAACCTATCAAAAATATTCTGTAAACGCTGGTAGTGATACCTGTAAGTATTGCTTTGGAATCTCCCCATAAGGAATCTTGATTGCATCAAACTGTTTCTGAAGAGAATCCAAGATAGCGGAGTGGGCGGGCATGGCTTTTTTCAAAGCCTCGAAGTCAACCTTAATCCATCAGAAACATTAGAGAAACAATCACTACACGATGAGACATCACCACGTCAAGAAGCTAGGTTAGGACTCCTGATCAGGGCACACCAGTCTTCATAGGGGCAATCATTGGTGGGTTACTGGAAAGCGCCATGGAAATGAATAAGTACCTAGGAAGAAGTTATTAGCTATTTTGTTGGTTTCATTTGATTTGGATTACTTTTTAGGATACTGTTCCCAGTCCAAAAGAACCAACTAAAATGGAGCGCGCTCATACTTCGCGATCCGATCGCATTCAATGCATGAACGCTGCCCAGTTGAATTCTTCCGTTGGGTAGGTCCACTGTTTGGCGGTTGAGCGCCTCGGTCGAGGTTGTGCGCTCCAATCGCTCGAGCGTTCCCATCGCGCGATCGAAGTAAAGTAGTAGTACGCGCTCAGGA